GGCCTCAGCAGCGCTTAGTCTACCTACCTGGGCGTTCATATGACCAGCAACCACAACGATATCTGAGCTTTTAGCCTGTTGTAGATGGGCACTTAGAGCGTCATAGAAACTGTCCTTGGCAGATTCAGAGCTACAGTCAGTTGGGGTGTAAGCAGAAACAATAAACAAGGTGCGATGAACCTCACTTCCTCTAGATTCTCTCACCGATGTTGCCAAACGAACCGCACAGAGGTGACTGTCAACGGGTATCCAATCAAGCAGAGACGCTTCCGCTCGTTCGCTCAATACAATACCCACCCCAGCATATCCAGCTGCAGCGGCCTCTGCATCACCAGAAGTGCGCAGTCGGAACCTGGAAGAGAGCGAGGGCGCAGTCAGTTCGATCACAGTACTTGCGTCCTGCATCCTTGTTTCTGACAGACAACATACATCAATACAGAGGGAATCCAGCGTACGCGCAAGAGCCACCTGTTGACCTGCTCGCTTCAGTGTGCGAACATTGAAAGTGGCTAAGTAGACAGGCTTTCGGGGTTTGAAAACAGACTTCGAAGTGTTTAGGGTTGTAACTGAACTCGGACGTGCAGAAGCTGCAGCTGAGTGTGTTGCTGGGCGAGAAATTTGAACGAGTGGCCGGCACGCTGTTGGACACCATGGCCGAACGCCTTTTGTTGTTTCGAGAGTTAGTACTGGATAGCAACAGCCTGCGTTCAGTACACAGCTGAAACAATCGTATATACGTATCGAGTCCAGTCCATGTGGACCTCCTAATTGAGTCTCGGATGCGCGAAGCCTGGCCACTTTTGCATTCGGATCTCTGACAACCACAACAATATCTGAACGTCTAGTTCGCCACAGGGTATTAAGGGAGTCATAAAACGTGTCTTTGATGATGTGAGCGTTTCTCTTGTTTGGGGCGTAAGCAGACACGACAAACAGACATCAATCAACTGTGCGCTTGTGGAAATCCTTCACAGATTTTGCCAGACAATGCGCATAGAGGCGTCTGTCAACGGGTATCTAGTCAAGGAAGGTCCTTCCGCCCGGTGACTTATGACGATACCAACCCCTGCACACCTTACCGCAGCAGCCTCTGGGTCGCCAGAGGTGTGCAGCCGGAAGTGTGGAGAGTGGTGGTTGGGGTTATTCCAACCCCTGTGCTTGCATATTGAATCGAATTCTTGTTCCTGATACACAGCACACATCGGTGCCAAGTAAGTCCAATGTAAGCAAGAGCAGCTTGTTGACCTGTTTGCTTTAGAGTGCGGGCATTGAAGGTGGCCGGATGGACTGGTCGTCAAGGCTTGAAGATTTACTTCGAGATGCCTAAGAATGTCGGCGCCCGATGACGTGCAGCTGTTGCTTGCAAAACCGATGCAGGACGAACGGAGACGTCAGTCTTAACTGCCGGGCCTACAAGGTTGGAGTTAATAATGGTGTGGGAAGAGGAGGAGAAAAAGTATCTGAAAGAGAAAGAAGGGGGTCAGCAATTGCCTGTTTTCGCTTAACCTTTCTGGTGTATGCAGCAAGTAAGGCGGTTCGGCTCATGGCACCACCCGATAGCCGATGTGGCATGAGTTTGTTTGGATATGTGCAACTCATGTTTGTGTTTGGGCTAGGACACTGGCAGGGCGCCCGTACCTAAACAGGAGGACGATTCGAGTGCTCAACTAAAGCCCTTAGCTCAAAACCCTGACCGCGGGACTTCGGTGTTTGGGTAGAACTCGAGTGCACTACTATTTTTACAGAACATGTTGCCGCACATATTCCAACCTAGAAGATGGAGGTCCAGGAGGCCGGGTTTCTCAGGCCTCTGACCGTAGACCAACCTTGCATGGGAGACTGCGAGTGGTGCACATACCCTCCCTAGCGTATAGCCCAATGGCTCGCTGAAGTACACCACGGTGTGGTCTAGTCTCTCCGTGAGGGCGTCTGGACTAGGCTTTTTGGGCATAAAAGTGACAAACCGCGACTGGTATGTGGTTTCGGGGCGGGATTCTGCCTAAGAGTGTCTATGTATGTCTAAATATTCGGGGTCAATAAGGTTTTTAATCGGAGAGACCTGAGCACGAGGATTTTAGAGACCTTTCGGAGTTCGCCGTGTCACTTTCCCAATTAGACAAACATAAACGGGTTGTTTTCATGTCTTACCACTGGTATATCCGATTCATCCAGGTTTGCACTCTTATTGACTTCTCCCTTTTTCTTCCACGTTCTCTGCTGGCGTACGCTTGTCACCTTTTGTAGCTGGCAATCACTCAGGTTATTAGACTGCGAATTCGAACATTCTGATTGCATGTGGACGATAATCTTCGAGCGAGTGACACCCAAGTGGCTCTTGATTCCATCCATACTCAGTGGGGCATCATAATTTTTTCAACTATATTCTCTTTGGAGCATTATCCTTAGTCCATGAGTGTTGCATCTGTGGGCATTAACCATGAGAAATATGTGGTTTCCACCGATTTCTGGTCATCTTGCCCATTTTACAATCTTTTGAGAATATGCTTCCCACTAATTGCCAGAACAAAATACTTCTTGAATTGTTTGAATATATGTCTTATTGAGGCCAGTTAGGCCGTGAACAATCTGTCTTCGATGTCCATCGGTAGGAACAAAATTGGATTATATGTCCTGCGGATCTCACTGGCTGTGGTCAAGTGCCGGCATTTGCGATCCAGGGTACTCATGAAGTTCTTTCCATATTGAAGTAAAACAACCTCATTTTCAAATAAAATGATCATTAAACGTCATCGAATCAAACTCAGGACCCCGGTGAGTTGTTTTGAATACTCATAGGACATGCGTGTAACTTGGCATCCTCATTCGGTGTTCTTTTAATCCAGTGCACCTTAATTTTTTATCCTAACTATCAATGATATTGATGTTGTTCATGGTATATATCTAGCAAACACCGTTCTTGTCCACTGTAGGCCGCCAATGCCTTTCTTGCCCAGCGCATTAGCAGTATCAACGCAATTTCTGCCATATGCGAAAAGACTGGGGCTGACATTCGAGATGTTGCTCGAGCCATCGGATCAGATAGCCGAATCGGCCCGCACTTTCTCAAAGCCAGTCTTGGCTTCGGTGGAAGTTGTTTCCGCAAGGATATACTAAATTTGGTAAGTTTCTGTAGTCTTCTACGAGGGTCTAATGCAAAACCCGATTGCTTACAACGCAATTTGGATGAAGCAGTTACCTAATTTAGGGCCGAGGTTGGGCGATAATTAAAATCGCGCTTTCCAAATGGGAGCATACTTAATCGATCTCATTGGACCAATGTAACAGGCACCTGGAGATCATTTTCCAGAGGGCTGCTGAAATAGTTGCATTGGTTAAACTGTCTCTGCATCGCTCACCTTTATTTTGACGAAACGACAGCATGGCATCGTTTTCTCACAGTCATCAGACTGGCTGTATTGTCCAGTTTGGATACCATTATTATTGTAGTCTTTCATCTCATTTGTGTCAAGCGTGGCCGTCAAATAAGTTAGTGGGTATGATCCTTTAACGCATGCAAGATATTTTTGACTACACCATTGCTGCACTCGAGTTCGTCAAAAGTGTTTTTCATCAGATGTTCTGATTATGAAAAGAACCAGGTTTTGTCTGTCTTTACCCCACTAAACGGTGTCCCCATGTAAGCAACTCAACGTATCCGCATGTCCTTGCACTGAGTTAAGTAGAACAGTCGTGTTCTTATTGGACTAATATCTGCAAGTTTTCCGCATTTGAATATATGAATATGTATTTTGGTGTCAACCGACAAAGGTGCTGTACTTTTCCCACTCTACGTCAAATTTGTAATGTGAATTCACACTATGATATACTTTTAGCTTGCAGACAGAAAGTCATAGACCTGATTTGTTGTAGGAGGCGTGTTCCAACGGTACAAAATTAGAATAAAGCCACTCAGTCGACGACCTTATTTTTGGACCACCAACCTCATTCAAGACCACAGCCCTACATTTACACTTTCAAATGGCCTCCAGAAAAGCGCTTAAGGCTCATGAATGGATGAACGAGCGATGCTTATCAGATGGGTTTACCTCCAGTGGTGCACCCTCTTCATGGGTATCTAAGTTTGGGTAAAGTTAAGAATAACCTCATGCGGAAATTGGGTTGTGTGAATGGATGATCCACGAGAAATTGAATCTGTCACCGAGCACTGTTTCCACGTACTTATGTAAGTCCTACAAGCGTACCTAAGAGATATGGCATAGTAGTATGAATGGGTTGTTGGAACGACACACTATGAAGATGCCACCGTGTAGCATCCAAATCTATAACAAATGCATCCAAGTAAAAATATTGTTTATAAATATTTTGCGAAATAACAGTAAGAGTTTCCGCCCTCTTTCCTCTGTCTGATGTGCAACCCGGACGAATTTCTGTGGTTCTGCACAGTAGACTGTAAGAAGCAGTGGCATATGGTTCAACTCAGTTCATTCATTTTGTTAAGCATTTGATGAATGCTATATTGTTATCCATGATAGTGGCAGTGTTCACTGTCTATGCATCCGTTTTAAAGAATAAGTGTTTTGGAATTTTCCAACCAGGGAGGCAGTTTGCTTGTGACCGAGAACGGCATTTTGTCCAATAGATTACTTTTTTTTACCACAAACCGACTCGACTGCTTTCAACAGGTGTAATGGCAACCAGCTTCCTCTCCCCTTGATTATTTTGCAAGGTCCCACTGTGTGCCACGTAGCCCACGTTAGAGTTCATCCGCAACGATGAACTTGGTCTTCCAAATTAGTCCTCTCTATTCTTTCACGTGTTAAAACTGAAAATAAGCGGCTTATTCTGCGTAACCCATCCAAGTTACCTATCTCAAAGTGGTAACACATTAGGTGGATTGGTTGACATAACCCTAGAGTTCAGGGATTAAGACATTAGAATGACCCCTAGTACTATGCAGAACGTAGAGTACGCAGTAGCTTCTAAGGAGAATCAAACTTGTCAGTTTGACTGTACCAGCTGACCTCGTCAGTTCTTGGGCGACAGCCTTGCGCCTTTTTCAAGTTGGCATTTTCCAACTTGTCCTTTCTCTCAGAAAGATGGCAACAACTGTACCTCTTGGGATGCTAGTTACCAGGGGATAAAATCCTCACGGATGATACAGCTTTGCCTCCGGACCGTCTCAGAGCGTTTCATTAACTGAAGGCTGACGAAACAGTATTGGTTGCGCCATATGGCACTCGCTGATTTGATTATGGCCCAATCTTGTTAACAATCGTTTTGCCTTTTGTTATTAGTGTACGGGTGCTCGTTTCTCTCAGTACCAACATTCCACTTCATCGTTTTCTATTCCAGGTTTACATAAGCGAATGTCTCAATCTCAATGAGGTCGCTTCTTACTGGTATTCCGTCCTACAAATGAATGAATTCCAACACAGTCGATTCTGTCGTCAAATCATTTCCAAGTTCAACAACACCCTGACCGGTAAACGAATAGCAATTTTCGGTTTCTCGTTCAAGGCGGACACACACGACACAAGGTCAGTGACTTGTATGTCTTCTCCTTCCGCCCCGTTCGGTACACGTTTCTGGAGCCTGATCATCATTCCATTCCGCTTGCATCCAAGTAGAAACAGTTTTGAAAATCTTTAAGCTATCAGGAGATCTCGACGCGTTCGAAACATTTTATTTCAGTTTCCAATCAATGGGAAAAAGTGTGGAACCGATTGAGAAATCATCGTTCCAAAAGGGCTCAGCGAACAAACGATAGTTTTTAACTGAGCAACGTTCCGCTTTAAACGCAAAGGCTTCATCAGGCCAAGTGAGCAGGTCCCGAAGTTGGCTAGCTTTTAAGGCAACCAGGGAATTACTCAGTAAGACGTCTTCAGATTAGCACACTAGGTCAGTGTTGAATGTCAATCAAATGGTCTTGTCGGTTAGTGTGACTGCCTGTATTGATTATACTTCCAAGTGGAACGACGCGACCTTTATGTAGTGCATCTAATTGACGAGAATCGTAAACGTAGTATTCGTTCGATTCTGCTGGTGATACTGTCTTAGGTTGCGAGTGAGTATTTGACTTAGATGCATGCAATTTCGCATTCGATTATGAAATAAGTTCGGTGATATTTCACTGACTGATTCATTCTGGTGAACCCAAAAACTAGGCCGATAGTGAACTTTCCAAAGATTTTCCGGATAGATGGCCATTTGTTGAAATTCATGCACACAACTGTAATGTATAGAACACAAAAGTAATACTCCGAAACACGCATACGCTACTCGAGCATGGTCATTCATCTCAACTCGTCAAGGACGGACTCCGATTTTTCACATTTCGCCCTCCATGTATACAGTGATATTAAAGCGATCGCTTCAGGAATATAAGGCGTTCAGGTCGCACTCAGCCTCATAGCTGAACGCACATTGCCGGATTAAATTCAAGTGAACAACCCTGTTAACACCGTTCGGTTTTCTAGCTCAATCGAACGCAATCGACGTAAAAAGCTGCGCCTCTTTGTAGTTCTGGCACATGCCCCTACGGACTGTAGTTAATTCGCTGAGCAGGATACTTTCTGTTGAGATTTACCCTGGCTCATTTGTCAGACAAGAAGCACTGACATTGTCATCCCTGTGGGCGATATGGATGCCGAAATCGGTTACATGTGGGTGGTCACATAGGATCCGATGCTCACCGGCCGTTCATTTGAGGTGCATGCTGACCATTGGCTTCTAACTAGCAAGAATATCTCAGCATAAACGCGCACACTACGGTACCCGGCAACCACCAAACGCAAATCAACCTAGGTACCCAACTGAATCTGTGGCACACAACGTGATTCCGATCGCTCCGCAGTGCGAGCATGCATGACAGGTAACTTTTCTTCAGGGCCTCGCAGGTCAGCAATAAGCATACCAATCCATCTTCGGGAACTACCATACTACTCTTTGCAGCAAAGCAACATGTAACGAGGACGTGAATGAGTCGTGGCGAAATGCTAAGGGAGCTACGCTAGCGTCGTTCAGTGTTGTCCGTCCGACTTCTGGGATGCGATCAAATGACCACTGTATAAAGTCGAGGTCGCTGGTCCTGGTTGGTGTCAGGTGAACCATGACAACAGGCAACGAGTTCGAGGGTACACACAGATGATCATACTCNAACGAGTTCGAGGGTACACACAGATCGATCATACTCCAAATATTGAAGGTTCTAGGGAAAGACCGAGAAATTTGATGGACAGCGAAATCTCGGAAGACGGAGAAGGCTTATGCCACTGGAAACACCCGTACCAAGTACCAATTACTACGAATGACTGGCCCAAAGGACGCGAATCCGTGAAAAGGTAAGTGGAAAACCAGTTCACCAATACACTCGCGAAAACAACGACAGGAAAGATTGGCCGAACACTTTGAAGAACAGCTAAGCCCGCCCCCTGCAACACAACCCCTGTAGACATTGCAAACAGTTGAATGAATTGTAAACTTTGATCCCCCGTCAGAAGAGGGGATAGAATGTGATCTGTCCCTTCTAACAAGTGAGACTGCACCAAGACCAGAAGGCTTGTGCCTTTTCAATGAAGCCAGAGAAACCCTGATTATCCATGCTGTAAAACTTACTGGCTTGATATGCAGCCAATATAAACAGCCCGCAGAACGGGGCGTATCGACAGTAATCCCTGTATTTGAAACGGGTTCACGAGCTGTGTGTGAAAACCATCGTGAGATTGGCCTGGTAGGTGCGGCCTCTGGTCTCATCCTTGAATTGCTGACTGAATACAAATAGACGATGCACGTTTTCATCCTCCGCTAGATTCTGGAGCAGCAACACTGTTTACAGTTACGAACAGCAGTGATCCTTCTTTCTTCGAAAGCTGCCCTTGACTGTATAAACCGTCAGGTTCTACAGGGACCGCCTATTGAGCAACGGTACCCTCCGTAAATTCTTGGCTCTCCTTAAAGCGCTGTGAGCCAGCTTCAATGGGTGCGCGGACGTTAACGGTAAACTCTCGCCTGAGTTCACTACATGTAGTGGTGTTCGGTAAGGCTCTCCTATATCGCCTTTCATCTTATAGTCCGTCATTGCTGTGGTCGTGTGGGACTGACTTCCATTTTCTAATGCGTGTGGGTTCGAAGTGTTTTTGGAGCGTTTTGGAGCCGATTACAATCAGCTGGGCGTTGATGCACCACACTGTGGCGAACTACGTGGCACCAAAGGTGACGCCAACGGGTCAGCAACCGGGCTCGAAGAGTGAAAAGTTTGGGAGTTGTTCACAGTGGCTTGATATATGTCATGGTCTCTACTGGCATATCAGTTACACTGGAATCGAGAGGACAAACGAACTTGAGGAGGTTGTAGTGGAAATAACCGAAGCATATGGTGATATGGATTCAAATGAACCAGAATATAAAAATAGCTAACAGTCCTATAGGATATCAATGAAATGTGGGAAGCAAGGTTTCAGTCTACAAGACAAAGTGTCAGCAAAGTGTATTTGTTCTCCTGGAGGCAGTCCTCCCAGCAACCCTACTTTGAAGTAGTTGCTCGTAAGGCTGCTGTTGTGGTTTAGGTTGAATCGTTCTGACGGGCTTTCGTATTCGATCCGTCCCTCTTGTAGGTGCGCAACGTTTTGAAATTTCTGTTTCAACCGTCGGCTCGGTGATTCATGCTTTCGAGACAATTCAAACGTATCGGGAAGAATCTCATGTGGAAAATCAGGATCGAGTGTAACTGTCACTGGAAGAGAGGCAGAGCGTAGCCGATTGGCACTACAGACTCAGATGGAGGAGTCTACGTTTACCTCATAAACAGAACACAATCATACCTTGTGTCCACTTTTCCATGCCACCGTGATAGGTTTTTGCTAACACAGATTGGCCAGGTATATATATGTTATTTACAGCACCGTGATGTCCGTTGAACTGAACTTCTATATTTGTGTTTCTACCGGTTGGCGACTGTAGTGTTAGATGGAGGACGTCAACGGGTAAACGGATCTTTCGGTTCATAAGTACCTCCGCCGGGGACTTTGGAGCGCTAACGTTTGGTGTCGCCGTGTAACTCAACAGAAATGTCTCGATGATTTCTGGTGGGATCCCCTCCCCTTTGAGTTTTGAGAGCACACATTTGAAAGTGTCCACAAATGTTTCCACTTTGCCATCGACTTCGGAAAGTGGGGATCGACTTTGGTGGGACGGCTGAAGCTGTCGATCGGAACATACTGAAGGCCAATGTGTGCGGTGGAAATGGAGTAACGGTTCATGATCGCTGGTGTTGCGAGCCATGACAGGAGTAGTTGGAAGTGCACTTGTAGTAGCGTTAACCTCTGTGTTCACCGTTATTGAGGCGACAATAGTATCTTCGGGTTGGTGACGTTGAGAATCGATGAGTCTTGATAATCTATCAGCGTGGTCAATGGGATCTGGTTGGAGCTTGAGGCTTGTCTTATTTTTGGTGCAGCATCCAAGACCATCTTGGAAGACATCGTCGAATATGGTCATGAGTGCGTTAGTTAAGAAATGCACATTGTTGAAAGATACAGGCTAACTTGCCAGTCCGTAGTAGGGTATTTCCAGATGCACTTTGGGTCCGATGATTCGTGAATGAAACAACAGGTTTCCCTATTAACTCTCAACTGGAACGTGAGATCAATGTAATATCTGAATCTGTGCCGACAGATTGGGATGTTATTTTTGAAAACTGTAAGCTATTTTCTTCGGGACTTGGAGTATAGCAAACACAGATCTGGACTGCGGACGTCTCTGATGCGGCTGCCTTTTGACTGTGTTGCTGATTGAACTGCTGATGCTGTTTTGGGTTTTCGGTACTGTAGATTTCTGGATACGGCAGAAACCTTACTTGTGGCCACACCGATGACACTAGTGCTTGAATGGACAAAATCGTCCACAATGTCACTCACTAAAGGACCAGCACGATGTTGGCTTTTTTCATCATATGTAACAGCGATTCACATCAGTGCTATGGCACCAGTGGAATCAGTAAGTCGTGACATCTGTAGCATTGCGGTATAGTGTTTCAGCTTGCGCGAACGTTGACATTCGGTGGTGATTACTTTCACGGTATGTCGTTTTCGGTCTCAAGATTGAGAAGTAATCGATTGTGAATATCTAATTCATGTGGGACCAAAGACCAGCAACGAAAATTGGACACTTGGACTGATCCTCTGTAGGCAACTATAATTGGAATTTTCTACCGGCAAAAGTGACTTAATCATCGGCATCGTGCTCGGCCAATTGGAGACAGTTGCATCAATCGTTAAAAAGTGAATGCTGCTCCCAAAAATTTTATGTCGTTTTCGGTCTCAAGATTGAGAAGTAATCGATTGTGAATATCTAATTCATGTGGGACCAAAGACCAGCAACGAAAATTGGACACTTGGACTGATCCTCTGTAGGCAACTATAATTGGAATTTTCTACCGGCAAAAGTGACTTAATCATCGGCATCGTGCTCGGCCAATTGGAGACAGTTGCATCAATCGTTAAAAAGTGAATGCTGCTCACCAAAAATTTCACGGAGTTGTTCCCATATTTGTGCAAAGTTTAAATCCTTCATACGTTTGGAGAGAATAAAGTTCGTGAACCAGTCATGCTCGAGAGTTCCTGGTTTTCGGACGAAGAAACGGGATTTCCACGCATCACCTTTCTCAGTAAACTCATTCTGAAAAGTATCTTTTCATTGGTTGTACCGTGTATCGAATGTGCGACCAGGTGCTGTTTCGCAGAGAAGTTCGGTAAAAGTTGCTGTGATCGCCTAAGTATTATGAACTGCCACTTTGAGATAGAAATGATGTCTGAAGACCGATAGCTTGAGTTAGAGAAGATATTATCGCTATTGCGACTGTTTGAACTGCGTTTGTTACTGTTGATGGATTACTTTCAAATCCTCCGCCGGATGTTTACTTTCGAGTTGTGTTCCCGTCGCCAGTTATAATGGTTTCTGCCGATGTATCAGTCAGACTTGTCAGACACAGCGGAAGCGAGAAGACAAACGACCTTGAGCATATGGATTGAAAAAGAGCGAACAGTCTAATAGGATATCAATATAAGGCTAAAATAGTGAAAACAAGGTTTCGGTCTACAAGATAAATTGTTAACAAAACGAATTTATTAGTTTTGAGGCAGTATCTTGCGTCTAAGGGCATCACTCCACCACTAGGAGACAAATGGCGTGAAGGGACACAACAACAGGAGTATCAAGGAATGGCTGTTGGCCAAAGGTGATTGGGATGTGCACCTGCCGGTGGTGCAGTTGACACACCATGCTTCGAACCAGTCAAACACAGGAAGTTCACAATTCATGTTGATTTACGGCCTCTAGGTTGATCAGGAGGTCGGGTTGTGGCCGACTACATGCCTAATTTTAGATGAAAAAGGAGGATAGCTGTTCACGAATTGATTAAACGGAAGGCTGGAGGTAGGAAGTCCCGGTTATTCTCCATGGGCACGAAGGGCAAGTGGAGAGATCACCCGAATCCTGGAAGGACTGGACTCGGATCGCGGAATCTGTGCGATCGGTGGCAGACTTTTTGACGTTGTCGATCATCAAGATAGTCAGGGGTCTAGACGAGTGAATGGGAGCCAGTTTCAGAGGTGGCACGATGTGCCAAAGAATGTACTTAATTAACCGGCAGCTGACTGGCTGACCTGATTGAGGGGGACCGACCATCGGTGGCATGCCTGTGAAATTTTGAAGGGAGAGGTGTGTCATGGTGTGTGCCACTGATAGAATGGATGGATAGTATCCGATCAGGTAGTTTAAAACGCATTTCCTATGTCTGATTAAATGTTAATTTGGAAGCTTGAACTGTTTTACGGTGTTTGTTCATTAATGTAAGATGCACAAAAGAACGTCCAGGAAAGCTCAGGAGGACACCTCCAGATGTTTACTTAATAAAACTACACAAATGTAGTTTTGACTTTGTTGTCCGGTAGCCTGTAACCACTGAGTGCGCTTGTCGACAAACAACACACTGGAAGGTGCTGTTCCTTTCGTTTGCTTCGCCCTCCTTGGAGCTCATCAAGAAAGTGTAGTCCCCGAGTTTTCACCAGCCTCATATTCATGAACATAAAATGGTAATTGGTGGAATACACTCATTTTCAAAATTGTAGTAGTTTTCTGAATTTTTCGGCAACCTTAAGAGTAGCCTGTTGTTTCAAGCGTCTCGAATACTGTGCCATCTAAAGCATGAGGTGACCGTGCAGCACATTCAGTTGACGAATATATTGAACATGTGCGATTTACCAATGAGTGCACTTCGTTGATACGTGTACGTGCTTCGCCAACTCCTTTAAAGGACGGGGAGTTCAAACATTTCGATCCAGGTGTCTCCTCAAAATTGGACACTGTCCACACCCCATTCCGGTCCGCTGATCTCTGCTAAAATTGGTGTAGGAGGAGGCCATCTAACTTGTTATTTGAAATGTTCGTGTATCACGTACCGGCACGTACGTACGCCCCAAATGAATGCTGAGCACTCTGTCCTTTCAATGTTTCTTCTTGGGATTTGAATCTACCATTTTTGAAACGTGGAAATATGACTCACGTGGGTTTCTCCGATGGGATCCGCGAAAAAGTCGGTACCGCGAAATTCGTTACTTCGTTGAAGGAGTTAATTTATCCAATTCGCCTACAATTTTAGAAACCGCCTTCACAGGCCTCATTTGTCTAAGGAAAAAACCGCCGTCACCTCAAAAATCCATAGACTGATAAGTACTTTCCAGGAGAACACAGCTGGAACCATTGGTACGTTTAGGTATTTCGCAATCAACTCCAATCTGCAACCTTAGAGATAGGTTTTTTTTCAAATTCATCATCTTTATTTCAATGATGACACCAGAGTTTTTCTTTCTCGCTTTTTATTCAGGGAAAGTCAAGCTATACTTGTGTGCAATTCGCTGCTTGAGGAAAGGGCCATAGTAGCAATTTATGATCCCAAAGCACTGCCACACCAAATTAGAAGTGACCTGCTTTCCTTGCAACATGCAGACGTTGGTAGGTTTCCCTTCTTTGTTGTTAACCCTCGTTGCTTGGATTGTTATTCAATTATTTGGCAATTTTTACATCTAGGCGTGGCCATCTTGCACTAGCCTCAAACAGCTGTCATCGTGCACAGTATTCCTAGTCTCCGCGTAAAACGTATTCGACAAAATCATTTTCCAGCTTACAACAGCTCAAAAACTTTGATGCATCCGATTGACATGTGCTCGCTGTGAACTCCGTAAGCAGGCGATGTTCATACATTCACCCGAGCCGACAAAGTAACTGTTAGCATGTTCGAATGAGAAACGTGTTTGAACGATTTTGGCACACATATGTAAGAATATGGTACATTCGGGTTACAAAAACTAAGTCAGTCTGCTAGAACTCCATAAAACTGCGGTAGAGCCCGTAGTCGGTTTCGAGAGTACTGGTTGATCGAGCTTCCTTCAGTTTTAGTTGCGGCTGTAAATGGTGTAATCTGAGCGGTAAGCTTTGCTGTGAGTGACTAAAAGTGCTGTCTGATGGTGTTCCAAAAAACGTTGCTGATAATGCTGCTTCACTTTCTGTCGCTGTTCCATCTGATCCTGTTAGTGCTGCATTTATCTGTTATTGCGACAGTTCTAGTAACACCGTTTCAACCATTGATGGGACAAAAATTCGAGTTGTCCCATCGGGCTAGAGACAAGGACATCAGCATTCATGGTTCGCTACCTCAGAACCATGACTTATTTTGAAAGCCTTATTGTGAGAAAAACAGTAAAAGTAGACAGACAGGGAACTCAATGCTAGCCCATTCTAATCACTCCGAGTTGCCTACAGCTCTAGACACTCCTTCAGGCATTCTGGATAGATACTAACAAACAAGAACACCACTGACATCGGTTGGAAGTCATTTCTTGCAGCGTCTCCAAATTGGTGCAGTGGAAATCACGCGGTCCCCATCCTGGAAGGCGAGTCGCACCGACGGCACCCAGACTTTCCGGAATCTCTTTCATACACCTCCATCTCCCTGCTTCCACCACTCCGAATTGAGCAAAGGAAAACAGCACTCTCCGGCAAACGATGAATCGGTATGCGCAATACATGGCCAAACCAACACCTTTTGGTGCCGATTGAAGTCCATGTTGCACAACCGAGTACGCGCTGTCTAATGGCTTCGTTACAGATTTGCCAACACCAACCCACATGAGCTATGGTTTATTAGACAATGGTTGTCTAGCATTTGAAGATTTCTCAGTTCTGCCACTCGAACAAGCCAAGTCTCCCCCCATACAATAAAACAACCCGGATACACACGTCCGTTGAGATTTAAGGATATGCTGATTTGACGCCATAGGTATCTTAAATTAGTAAACGCGACCCGAGCCTCGCAGCTTCGTGCATTAACTTCATACATCACAGTACAATCAGAACTAATACAGCTTCCAAGATACTTAAAACAGCCTTGAACTTCGAGTGCCTCCCTTGGATCGTAAGTGGCGTGTCCAGTGACTGCATGTCCACGACAATGACCTTACACTGTGCGGGTGCAAGGACCATGCCAAAGGATGACATGACTTTAGTCAATTCATCCGAAATCCCGTACGCCTTCTCCTCTTCGAAGACGAGAATGATGTTGTCTGCATATTCTAGATTGATAAAGATTTCGTCACCAGCTATTTGATCATCATAATCTTGAAGATCTTCCATCGTTCGTATCAATATGTCATCAATCACGAGCTTAAACAAGAGTGGATATTGGACATCCTGGATACCGCTTCGTGTACAGAAGCTTTTAGAGGGTTCTTCCTGTGATCTGACGTTCCCGAAAATCTGAGAATATCAATAATTTATTATTATTTATTTCATTATTTCATGATGAGAGTGTTGGGGAGATTGAACCGGTCAACCGAATTGCATGCGCCTTAGAAATCCAAAGTTACTAACATTGTGTCGAATGACGTGCTAGGACCTAACGGAGTTTGACTACATAACACCATAACTGCATGACAACCATGCCGTAAACCGGCTTGCTGCTCACAGCTCAGTGTTTCACGAACCACCACAAGGCGACCAAGGAGGAGGGACGACAACGGTCCCGTTGCTACTCCGGTCGTCGTTATAGTTTCCTTGGAGAGTCTAATCCGTGGGCGGGTAACACCTATGCGCGAAACCACCCAGAATTGTTCATGCCTGAAAGAAGTGAAAAGAAATTCAATGGAATGGTTCCATTTTAGAAATCCGTTGGGCTTATCTCAGTGTTTCCAAGAGAAAACAGGCTAGAATTGGAAAAGCGAACCTATTGGAGGCTGTTGTCAATAAGTTTAGTGTACAGTAATGTATACAATAGTGGTCCCGCGCCTTTATAAGTCATTTAATGTGCAGATCCAATCGTGCTATGACCCTGTCAGCATCCGTATTAACCCATCCACGTGGATATCGATTCAAACTAATAGCCTGATGATGGTTCGTATGAAGCTTGGAATATAAGGTAGTATGGGCTTACTTCAATCATTAGGTGGTCCCGTTTTTCGCGAAATTGTGAATCCACTGTACGAATTGTACTCGGTTCCGTGAGAGGTTGGTTTCTTGTTTCGCATACAGACCAGATATCGGTTCGAAAATTCGTAACTCACATGGTGGGGTCTCAAGAGCCTGGTTACTACTTGCGCTGAACCAACTGCGGTTGAATTCCAGACCATTATTGGTGACCATGCTGAAAGCAATCCACATTTTGAGGAGACCAATTTCTTACCCAACCGAATCCAATAACAGCGTTCAGACTGATAAATGCCCGTACAAATTGATAATTCTTAACTCAGATCAAAACTCATATCCCGTTGGGCGTTGAAAGAACGGCCTACGTACGACTCCGTATGACCTCCTGGATTTCGAGACTGCACCCGCCTCCTTTGATCTGTCTGTTCTTCTCAGCAGCAATTTGTTATATTGCAATCCATTACGAAATCTGTCTTCCCCACTGATGGGGTGGGGGGCGAGACGGCTCAATCGGTTAGAGCGCGAAATTACTGACCACAAGGTCCGTAGTTCGACCTTGCCTCTGCTGTGGGGCGAGACGGCTCAATCGGTTAGAGCGCGAAATTACTGACCACAAGGTCCGTAGTTCGAACCTGACCTCTGCTGTCTAAGCTTGAGCCACCTGGCGGTATTGCAGCCTTCGTGCCACCTTTGGGCGGCATGGCAGCTAGGTACCGGAAGGGCGTTATAACTGAAGTTTTTTCTTCACTGATGGACGTCGGTATCAGTCTATCGGGCTGATTTCCGCTCATTATCATTAATGATACAATCGTTGTCACCAGGGGCAGCAACATTAGTGCTGACGCAGATGTAATGAAAATGGTCAACCGTCCCGGTTGAGACCTGCGAGATCTTCCCTCTTGGCTGGAGGCAGTACAAGAAATGGCTGCTGATCGATGTTAGAAGATTTGGTTTTCACCAGATCCTAGGTGTAGGTACTCCAGAATGGGCGACGCACCGATGTTACTACATTCAGTCACATACAAGTTATTTACATGTGTTCCTTTTCCAGTCGATAAACAAGTGGTTGTTTGCTCAACCGCTCTGGAGGCAGTCAAAGGTGCTTATGCAATTGTTATATGTACCGAATGGGAGGAGTTTAAGGTAAGTCACTGATTCATTACGCTATACAGTATGTTGTGGAAATATGTAAAACCAAGGCGAGTGAGTATTTGGATACTTTTCCATAAGCCGCTAGCCAGAACCTTCATTATTCAGTATTTTGAAACATGTGTACAGGCCATCAGAACAGTGGATTGCAGGTCAGTTTGAATCTGCCCATGTGGAGTTGTTGGGCTGGGTTGTTATGTTGCTTCATGATCTAACGCATGCTGCAGCCCTGTACATTCTTATCTTGTCCCTTGTTGTTTGTCGGATTTTCGCCCCCTTCGTTTATTGTGATAACCATTTAACGTCTGTTAACCGTTAGAGTACCACGAAACTTTCTGCGGCAACCATACCAAATCATTTGATCACATCAATTACTGCAACTGAAAACAGTGAGCTTATTTACCTGCACTGTTCGCTAAAAAACTAACATACGCCATTCATCATTGGTATCCATATACAAGCTTCTCATTGTCTACTGTATTTGCATAGTTCACTGAAGACCATGTACCACTCTATCAGACCAGATATCCAGTTCCTTAAATCATGTACTTCATGTGCTGAATATCGTTTTACCCTCGATGTTGCTGTAGGCTAGTTTGCTCTGCGTGGTATCTATCAAGCGCCTTGATTCGATATGGTACAAGATGGAAATGTTCAGCAAGGTGGTATGATATGAGGTCATACAGTGTTGGGTTGGAACGAGTGACTGAAGCGCGTGTTAGTCATGTTTCAAGGTCTGTAACCTGAAGGAAGGCTGGCTGGCACGATTTGACCTCAAAATGTTTTCAATGAAGTGGTCAAACAAGTCGAGAGGTCAGATGCATGTTAAATCCTCGTGAGGATGTGCATACACACACTGAGCAGCCTACGCACATTTTGGTGAACAGTTTAGTCTGATTGTTGATGCTAAAGGCTCCCCTCTTCTGATCACTTGAAGGCAATAATCAATAAAAGGTCATTTTCAACACTATTTTACAGAATCCAGAAACCCGAGCTTGAGTCATAAACTGATTGCCTCGTTTTTGGACATGTTGGGTATTGGCGTGGTTTTCTCACTTTATTGATGCATAAAGATCTGGTGAAACTAGTCTACCGTGGCTATTTCACTATGGCGACTGATCTCCAACAATCCGTCAAATTCCATTTGTACCTACCACAGAATAAGTGTTTAACCATCTGGACGCGATGGCGAGCCACTATTTCAAGCAAATTGGCCTCACACTCTCTGTACACTGGTCACCTAAACTTTCATCCACCAACAGCGACCGCATGTTATTGTCTACCGTCTGTCACCTTTTTAGTAAAAATAGCAGTGTATAAACTCGGAGCACCTAAAATGTGGCTAAATGTGACTTCTATGGGAAGCCCTCATTAAGTTGTTACACAAGAGTGCATGGTTTAACTTTCAATAGATGCTTAAAATCCAGTTCCTTATACGTCTAGCTTAATCAGCTCCCAAGTTAACAATGAGCATCCGACTTTCGACTCTAGCTGTTTGCGAATAGTAAAGCGCGACTGATCTGATGATCATTTTCAGGGCAACCGGGCAGTGTCTCATCCCCCATGCTTGCCTCAGGTGGCATGACAACTAGGCACCGAAAGGGCATTATAGCTGAACGATTGTTGCTTTTGTTTTATTTTGGTTGTGTTCGTGAGGTTAAAATGAATTAGGTAATCAAATAAACAGTAGGCACGACGCAGTGTAAACATACGCATACCATTCTTAATGAGTGGAATCGAAACCTGGTAGTTAGAGTTGCCGATCGCCCCACCCATGACTCATGGAATGGTTCCGATGATCATCCGAACAATTCGAGCAGACTAGGAGACAAATGCGGGCAAGTGATCAAGTGCACGAACACGCACGCACGCATGCACATATACATGTGTGGGGTCGACCAGTACGGCAGTTACGAGGGTTTGACGCGCTAGACAAAACGTATGAAACGATCATGCGCACAGTTTCCGTAAATCCATTGATAGAATTGTCGAACTGTCACAATAGGTCCGAAAATGATAGTAGCTATCATGCTAAACCAGAATGCTGTTACGAGGGACTAATTAAGGTATTTCTGAATAGGGCCAAAAGGCAATCGCGGACGGAGATATAAGGGTTAATTTCCAGAACAGTTTAATGCAGGTATTCTTCGCTCTTGGGCGTCTTTTGCCAATCTCTTTTTGCCGTCTTCGCACAACTAAACTGAGACTATAGTCTACCTGGCTAATAACGCCTGCGAAGGTGCCTTTGGAGTCCATGGCCGTTTAATCCAAAGTAGCCTCGTTTTGCGTGTTGGGAAAGTGGCACCACAAGGTATCACATCAAATTTATCAGCTCTGCTAACCTATGTCTGTCCAATATGAATTTCCTCTAAAGCAGTCGATTTTAGTCTGGCTTAACAGATTAGGCTTTTGTACAGCGAATGTGTTGGTAGCTCAGAAAGCCATCGTTTAGTAACGGCCACGGCTCATGAATGCTTTTAATGAGAAGCTTCGTAACCTTTGTCCACCCGAGCTTGTTTCCTCATCTACATGGGGGCACGAAATGTCAAGTGACTCCAAATGACCCGTACAGAACACTTGGTGACTGTGATTTGGTCAATCAGGCGACCCGAATCGCTGTCCAATTTGATCACATTCTTATTAACGGTGCAAACTTTCCCCATTTCCGCCTCCCACTACCATTACTAAGAGCGTTTAAGCTCAAGTATCACTCAAGCCCTATATTTTCTTACTAGCGATCACTTTTCCTTTACATTCACATAGCATATGGACTATAACAAGTTTTTCACATCCATGAAAAAACCTCCGAGGCTTTTTGATGGTCGTGTCCTACTTAATCACGAAGATCTGATGCGTATCGGATTCGAAGTGGAGTCAATCGGCGTAGACATGTCAAAAATCGTGCTTAATGGTCATTAGTCCACAGCGGACTACCGCTATTCATGTGTCTTTCTGTTTGGGTGTCTCTGGATTGCCAGTTTGAGTGCCTGTATCAGGTGCGGTTTATTCATTATACTGTTTTAACGAAGATTTTGATATCCCATTTGTTGCGTCTCCTTGATTCTCAATTTCCCACCGAGCAGGGATGTATGTTTTCACCCATTCGTTTTGTCAACCAACATCAGACAAATGCTTTTGTGAGCACAGCGCACTTCACCTTTCGATTTCATTCCAATAGTTCATTCCACTTTATGAGATCGTTGTTTCACTCCGTACAGGGCTTAATTCAATACTTCGGTCGAGTCCTAATTGAATCCGACCCAAATCTCACAGACTCCACAGTTTCTTACCTATTCTTTGCTTGAATAGCACTGACTTCAGTTGTTTTTTCTAAATGGCTGTTTGTTCATTTGTCACAAATCACTGCAATAAACACTTATGGTTGAGAAAACTATGATTGACATATAGGATAAATTTTGTGTAATCTGGGCATAGTCGCGTTTTTTTTACCAATAAAAGGATGAGCACCACTTCGTGTGAACACATCCTTCCATCCGTTTAGTTAGGAGAACAACCAACTACCTCGAGATTGAGTTTTGTTTGCCTGGACACAAAACACGGCGGATTCAATAAACGATCCCTACGTTACTAGAAAACTTGGTCCCAAGCAGCATCGCGTGTTCGCTTATTTGTCCACTACTTAGTAGCGTTTGTTCGGATTACATTCCAACCGGTGGTCGCTATTTCTAGCCGGGAACATGTGTGCGTAGTTAACGTACACGGCCCCACGAAATTTCGTCGGCTGCGCGCCAGATTATACACTGTCCATGGTCGCTTCCACTCATCACAGGGCTGGGCGAAAAAAATTCTGCGCGGCAGTCTATCCTCTGCCACGCGATATGCAACGTTTGAAGCTGAGTGTGCCCAAAAATCACCTGCATTGCCAATCCGGTGCTTCCATAAGACCGGTGAGAGCTGCGAAAAATCGCTGTCCAAACACTAGGGGATTTCCAACACCGTTTGCGCGTTGAGGCCACGTTTCTGAATGGCACTACCCAATGTAAACTCTAGCATTGACAGACAAACTGGTAAAAGTTTTCCTGGCGTTCCCGATTCGAATTGTAGTCTCATCTTAAGGCAGTCCACCGGAACTTATGCAGCTGCCCAGGTAAACAAATTTATCTACCACATCGACTGGCTCGCCTGCAAGCATGAAGTTTGGGCTTTATCCCACCCAGTTTTGTATCAGCGCTCCACATTTTACAGGTGTGAAGCACATACCAAATCACACGGCGAAATTATTTAGCTTATTAAGAATGGTTTGCACTGTTGATGGATCGGAACCAAGAAGATTAATATAGTTCGCAAACCCAACGTCTGAGCGAACGCTCTTGGAAAAATTTTGATCCCCGATGTTTTTGGAAGCACGCAGAGATCTCCAGTAGCACATCGATAACAAATTTGAACGTGAGCGATGAGAAGGCAGCCTTGTCTAATACCATTGGTAGTAAACTTGGGCGAAAGCCTGTTGTCGTACGGGCCCACAGGAATTCGCGTACAGTACCCTCAAAATGTATACAAGTTTGGAACACTTGGTCGCGAGAAGTCGCTAACCTCGAATGAGTCGAGAGTAGCTTTCCGATCAAGGAAAGTGACCAACATAAGACGTTGGTGCCTAATTGCCATGCCACCCGAAGGTTGCACGAGGGCTGGGATACTGCCAGGTTGCCCAAGCCTAGACGGGAAGTCGAGGCAAGGGTCGGTTTCGAACCACGGGCCTTTCGGTCAATAAATTCGCGCTTTAACCACTTGGGCGGCTGAAGATTTTTTTGCTGAGTCCCTCTTTCAAGCAGCCAGCGAATATGGAACACGTTCTGGCCCTTCTGAACTTTTGGGTAAATGATCCACCACGTGGAAATTTGTCAGAAAGTCGACTACATTTAAAAACAGATCTGTATGTCCTTATTGTTTTTGCCAGTGATCCGGTTCGTGTCGCACCATGTCTGGTACAAAACTGCGGACCAGTAAATACTATCACTTATCGGGTTAATGCTAAGCACCACAAATAATATCAATGCGGCGAGAGAATAACGCGTGTAAAGACCATTCCTTTCTGCAATTACTCTTCACGAAAGAGTTGCAACGGTATTGTCCCCACATGGAGCAACTTTTGTATAAAAAATAAGCCGGTAAACTGCTTCAAGCCTTGGATCGTGTACAGATATCAAGGGCGAGTCTGCGCTTGTACACGTTACCGATCTCATTCGTCCTGGTACACCTCTTTAGGCGGTCCAGTAAATGCAAGATACATGCTACATTGCTTGATATAAATAGCTGACTGCGTTAATCCGAATAAAACAGAGACGCTAACCAGAAGCTTCAATTGGCAGACCACACAAGACTCGTACACATGGGTAGTAGCATCCCTGGGCGACAGTGGGATCTCTCTACAGAAAGAAGAATGAAATGTTCTATCGTTTTATTGAGGAACAGAGCTCCACTGGAGTGCTGTAATGAAACTCGGATAACTGTGAACTAACCGTTATACGAGCAGACGGCTTCGGCCAAAAAGTGGGTATCAGTATAAATGTCTTGAATATGGAGAATAGTTGGATAGAATGAAATGAAGCAAGATGACAATCCGTTGAAAAACTTCGATTTGAGGGACGAAGTCAAAGGCTAGCTTCATCGTAACACAGCACGTCCAGTAAACATTCTGTTACAAATGGCCGTCCAACAAGCCTTGAAATCCGGATGTGTCTAGATTACGGAACCACTCATCTCTAAAATCCAATCGCGGCGAAGTGACTCCAACTACCTTCTCTGTTTGAAGGAATATAATAATAATAATAATAATAATAATAATAATAATAATAATAATAATAATAATAATATATAAGAAGGGGAATCATTAATTCTAGGCTTAGACTGATGAAAACATATCAAATGGTCAAATATCGAGAACTAAGTTGTAATGCAGTGAGCCCCAAAACATCTCTCGCTTCTATTCACTGAAGCCAGGCCACAAGTTTATACTGCCCAGTGTAATAATAATGACTATGTATTGATTCATTTGCAGCGGAATCATGATTCTGTACGCATCTGTTCATTTTTTTCCCTTCAGTTTTGATCGCTTGCCACAAAAATCGGGAGTTCCTGCTGGAGCTAGTGAAAATACAACTAAAGATGAGAAAGTTAATCATCTGCTTCCGTGATATGGATTAATTTATGTGACCAATGCATACACACAAAGTGTTGATGAAAATAGAGCAATTTCCCCCCATGAATTCGCCGGTGTGCCCCGTTGCGGACAAGTAATTCCAATACTAGACGGTGCTTTCGCCTTCACTAAGGCAGTGCAATCCAGTTAAACCTTGGATGAGTCAAACTGCAGCATGAAAGGAGTTTTTGACCAGCTGATCTCACCGACGACGACGGGTCGGAAAAGGTTGACGGAAGTTCAGTGAAAAACAGACACGGCTGGTTAATGTTGAAGAACCCTTCCTCGGCGGCGGAAATTCATTTCTAGCACCATAGCAGGCATAGGACTCTGAAAAGGATCACAATAATTTTGATACCCAGAACACTTGGATATGAACGTGAGAACGAGGAACACTTGCAAACAGCTTGTCCACCAATTTTCAAAACGATCTTCAATTACTCATTACTCTATTATACCATTCGGTGAGACGTGGTAGTTTTCGTAATCGGTCGAATGTTTAGCGTCACCTTTACTGATAAAGCTAGTGTCAACTGACTGAGAACAACCCAAACACTAGGTCTACCATGCAACATAGCTCAAACACCCTGGAACCAATGCGACATTCTTTCTGTTATCATATGACGATCTACAAACGCTCTAAATGGTGAAATACAAGGTAGTGTGGTTAATCCATCTCCTGGGAGGCTGAAAGTAATGTTGGTTGTTCTACACATCTGGCTGGCACGAATTAGATAACTAAACTGTTACGTACTGACCTTTTAAAAAAGTTTCGTGAAACGATTTTGGTGCACTTGGAATGCTGCATATACTTAAAATCAACATCGAAGTTGTCTATTGATCAGATGTTTGACGATCGAATCCACAACACATTCACAGTAATGGGTAGCTGTCCTGTTTGAACTCAACCAACGACCAACGGTATGCTGTCTGGAACATGTTATGACTGGATTCACGGAATGGAAGCGGCCTCGGCACCTGTCTTGCTTAGACAGTGACATGAAAATCATGGCGGACCTGTTCATGGATGTCGTAAAATAAAACTGATGACACCACAATCATAGGTGAAACTTGCGTAGGAGGCAATTCTGGTTCCTGCTGTGCTTACAATTAGTCCAGTCCTTGGTTAGGACGTCCAACAGTGAACTCTGACGTGTCAAATTCACTCGGCCGGTTTACATTTTTTTTAAACCTTGACCAGAACAAGCGCGCTACGACGCACTACAACTGGTTAACTGATATATATGCGACTGTGGTGTAATTCTCCCGGAGAGAAATCATATGGATGATTCTGCGCATTGGAAGAACCGCGAACAGCAATTTCGCGACTGCAGAACGGAAGGGCCTGGACTACACTATAAATTCCACCGACTTATCCGTTCAACAGAACTATAAGGATGCCACTACTAAGAGGAGGAAGGAAGCAAACAGAAGGTGGACAATTGTCGTGAGATTAGTCCAATTTGTGGTGCTGGTGAAATTCTGGCTCGTGTTCTAGTGGATTGGATGAAGGTGGAAAGTTTAGGTGCAGTCGTCTAAGAAGACAGTAAGTCGGATGACCATTGGTTTGTTCTTAGTCAGTCGCGTACACAGCTACATATATAACCTGTGGACAAGAATTGAGAAGTATACACAAACGGAAAAAACTCCACTGGAAGACTCGATCAAACCTTCCGTCGATCACGCATGTAAACCAAGCCCACTTTCACATACATGTCAGAATTAAAGTACCACAATCCCTGAGTCGACAATAAATCATAGGATACACACAGAACATCTCTTCACTTATGGGACAATAGAAACCAAACAATGCTTACCGCGGACAGCTTGTTCAGTTATCGGAGGTTTAGGTTCGAGAGCGCGGCACGTAGGTTGCTCGACATGAACCTCCGTATCATGTATGTCGCACTTTGACTGACATGGAACTGAGTGGGTCTGGCGAAAAGTGGGCACAAATTTAACGGTTATTAACATAGCTAGTGAAGCGCAGTCAGATGTCCGGAATGAATGATAAGTCAACTACAGCTCCGATTCAGTGCTGACATCGCATATCTGGGATGGTTGCAGGGCATACGCGAAGTTAAAACGAAATGCATTGTGAAATGGAAGTCGCTGAGGGTAGTTCGATGGGTTTTAATTGGGTTGAGGAAAAGATTTTCTGAAAAAAGAGGGAAATACCTACTAACGCATAACCTGGAAGAAGGAAGGGACCTAGTGCTGGCCTATGTCAAGCGTTCTGAGGTGCCTACACCTCCAACCGCTCAATCAAACAATCTGGAAAGAAACTGACAGCACGAATGTCACGGTGACCCCATCCTGGAATGCGTACAACAACAACAACAACCAAACTCTTCGTGATCTATTTCACGCCTTTTTGCCAAGACGTGTGCTGTCCACCTCGCGGTTTGCGCCATCCAGAAGGAGGAACGGAGAACAACACTCGTCTCGGTAGACGGTGTTTTGGCATGCGTAGCACATGACCGAGCCATCGTATTCGATGATGCTGGACGTTTTCCCGGACTGAAGCCATGACCTGGGAGATACTTTCTGTTTGTCCATGGCTCTAAGTGGTCATGCCCGCCCCATTTATGACTACTCTAACGAAAGATGGAAAACTACATGAGGGCGACCAGCTGATAGCTTCGACCACGTACCTAAACCAACAGCCAGCTGAGAATAATCAAACATGGGAAGAAACAAACAAGCGACAATATACGTACACAAGCCATACATTGAGAAGGGAGGTAGACAGGCTACTTATGCCAAGCACTGGAAGGTGCCAAAACCACTTGAGAAACACTAAATGGATGGTTTAAATTTCCTAATATCTGAGTTGAGTATTCTCCACTCCGATAAAAGAAGCTCGTCGGTCCGAACGAACGAGTGTGGATGCCCAGCAAACAAAGACATTTAGGGCTAGCGTTTAAGTTCAAAAGAATGGTTGGACGCAGTGGTGTTTCGACTGTATCATTGAAAAGTTACAATTTATGAGTCTGCACGTTTCTCTCAAGAAAACGATCGTCATATCTGTAGGGTTTCAGATTGGACGAGCAAGGGGTGGATGAGCGATTCAAGTCAGGGCAAATCAGGCGAATTTTCCATGCAACTTTTTTGAGCACTGACTTTGCATTCACAGCATTAAAAGAAAGGAGTATACTCAAATCACAGAAACAACCTTCCAAGCAATAGACTTCCAAAATAAAGGCCACCTTATTGCAGTATAGTAGGGGTTTTCTGTTCGTACCAACAGAATTCTAGTACCAATCAATGGAACTACGAGGGATAACTCTATACACGAGGAGCCTCCTTACCAAGAACGCAAGGAGCAACAGTCAAACGCGGGAAGTGGTTTGATCAGGTGAGGAAATTACTGATCCCTGGAGATAAGAAATCGCTTCATAGGGAAAAAATCTCTCACTACCGAAAAGCCATACCGTTTTATTGGGTTATAGTATACCATAGCTAAGGAAGAGAACTAGTACACCAAATAACACCCGAGCCATCAACACGAGACGTTTGTAACCTTATCAGCAGTCTCCAGGTTACAATCACCGTCAACCCAAGACGTACCGGTTGATGTAAACAATGATATAATTTGATTATCCATTAGAATGTACAAAAAATCAATTGAAATGAACTTACCACTGCCCCAATGGATGGTCGAATACGCACTATCGAGGACTGTTCAATAGCTGACGGTGAGAGGGTGGAGGACGAAGTACAGTTCTCTGGCGGATCTGATTTAGCGTCAGGACCCAAACTACAAACGAACGAGAAAAGGTTTGACACTCGTATGAAGTGATCTACGAATTTGCTATACGAGCCCGCATAGCTAAGTAGAACACGCGTCTGCGCACCGGAAATATACTGAACGGACTCTAGATCAAAGGGTTTCCCTACGAGGAATACCGAAAAAGTGGCACTGATGTGTTTACCGGAGGAATGGAACAATACTCACCTAATGGGATCCAAACGGCAAATTATACAGTGCAGGGAGGTTCCCAATCGAATGGACGTGAGCTTCATTTCAAATGGGAGTGATTTGTTTCCTTCCACATGCAGCAGCTGAGCCGAGGTTTTTACTGAACCTTGTGTTCCAACTAGTTGTTTGTCAAATTGTAAAACGGTATTAATACGATGGAGGAAATGGGAGACCTAAACTATACAACTAAGTGAAACAAGCAGAGATATTCCACTAGACATCAAAAGTATTCGTTTTGGTAATGATTAGTACAAACAGCCAATGATAATGTGCATCAATAAATATGAGGTCATTGAGATGAATCAATAAGAACTCGCTTTCCATGTATACATGCTTTCAATGTAAAGGTGTACAACGAATACTGCTGAACACCGGTGTTGATAATACGATGATGATTTCGGTTTCTGCTTCACTATAAAGAAAAGGGGTTATGAGACAGGTGCCTAACGCTGTCTTTCGTGCGGAGTGAGATGAACCTCATTCCCCGAGTGCCTATCAGTTCTTCAGCACAAATTAGCTTCACTTGTAGGAGGGAATCTCTTAAATCTCTTCACACTACTGACAAAAAGGCCTTAGTCCGCATCGCGGATTCAGCTTTTTTATGAAATAGTGCTGGGCTTTTAATAGTATACAAACAATCTTGTGATCGCCGTTCTAATCTCTGTATTAGTGGGAATGTGCTTAGTTGCGATTGGCTCATAGCTTAATTGACTCTGAGGTTGTTGTGTCAGCCGACTGCTGGTGGTTTAAAGTGCTGCTGTTGTTTGCCTGTATTGCTGGTTAAAACAAAAGAACATTCCTGGTTGCACGACTTTGGCCTGCGTTCAAACTCAATCACATTGCGAAGTACTCGGATTATTGAACGGAATTCACACGGCCATTGGTTGATCATGTTCGTGGCTGGCAAAGCTTAGCTGCTGCTGCAGGTTCTGCACTTTCCCGCAAACCTCCCCAGCTGTTTCTTATTCAGTCCACCATGAAGATGGTGAGAAGTTAAGAACAATCACAAGGTCGCCCATAAGTAGTCAAATTCGATCCATACGCCAATCCGAAACAACGACTTCGTACAGTACTACGTCTAGTATACTGCAGAGCTAATAGGCCGTAACCGATTCCCATGAAAGTAATTATAACATGATAGGGTGAGTTTGAGCACATTAGAACAGCGCTAATTCTTTATAACAAACAAAATCTAATCGAACTAAAAATACAGCACCGGAAAGAAATACGCCCCTTTTCCTCCGACGCCCAAATCCATTATTTATTGGAAAAAACGGCACCAAACCCTGATTGACAGCAAACTTGTATTCAATTCCCGCATATTGTCACGCTCAAAATGGGAAAGCGGAAAAAATGTACTGCATTAGTGCAGGGAAATCGCAAAGGCTTTTTCGATTACCCCGTGCAAATTGATATGGCCCTATTAACTCGTGAGATTAGTGCTCCTGACGCATTCGATGAACATGAAGTCATGCAAATAGGGAGATTGAACATCACGTACCTTTAATTGCATGGAAATGAAAATGCACTTTGGTGTATACCCACATTAAATTTCTGAGCAGCATGATATATCCTTGCCACATAAAATCAGGTGTTGGATACATTAGATGATACATTGTTTAGATTTTCTATTTGAATTCATCGTGAGGTAAGATTGTGCGTGTGAGCAGCATAGGCATCGAAGCTACCACGGTTAACAGTAGGGTGTCAAGGGCTAAATGCAGCCAAAACCAAATGTAGTCTAGAAATCTCCCCCGGTTTTTGTTAATGAGATTATATCATTATCGGCTTGCAGTAGGAATCTGATTCACATTACAAAGTAATGAAACTTGATGTGGCCTAACAAGTTCAGTTGTTATTTTGGTCTCTATAACACACCACCAGTTAAGCAAGAGCGCTCGCTGCTGTCCTGTACAACCGAACAACCAGCCTTCTGCTTGGCTTTTGGATATTTGTTTTACTTTTCAGTTAAAAAGTTCCTTTTATCGGAGCTAATGTGCTAACAACCTATGGTCACTAGTTAGGTCTCATTGTATGATTACCTGAACCTAGGGGATGCACATTCGTATTTTCTAGTCAGTCCTTGTCCGCAAGAAAGATTAGTGAATCTGATATAGGAACAGTACCTTCAAACAAAGCACGATCAATGACATCACGACAAGGTTGTGCAACCAAATCCTTGAGTTGTTTGTGGACAAGATCATCTGCCTTGTAACCCAGGAGCGTTTGGAAACTACAAGGAACAAAAATAAGCGGACAGACGAGTGATGAACACAAGGAACGGGGATTACGGTAACCTTCAGCTAGTATCGATTGGATAATGCATGAGGCGGAAGACTTATTCCAATAGCTCACTAGGAACGAACCCGGACGGTACGAATTGACCGGCCTGGCCTTGTCTCTCCGTATTCTCCTCGAAAAACCTCCAAAAGGTTTGCTACATGGGTAATCCCTACTGAAGAGGTCCCCCTCACTGCCATCTCGTAGAGGTGTTATCGCTAATGTGGGACGAAAGTGGGTATCACGAGTCTTTGATGGGAATACCTGAACCGTGATTTCAAACCATCGGCGGAAAGACTTCTGCAGAGTCATGCAAACACAAAACTATGTCTCACACATACTAGACTACACACCGACATTTTGAGGATCAGGTTGGCGTGTCTCACACAGAGCAGTTCTAGAAGGCAGCTGTGCGCGCCAGTTTACTGTAACTGCCAAATTTCCTCCGGTAAAAACGAGTTAACGTGGTGATGGAGACATTAAAATAACCACGCCATTTCCAGATCCAAGGCTTTGGACACGTTCAACGAGCATTACAGAGATTGGGAGGATCATTAATTTACTAGAGTCCTACATTTCGAATAGTCGTTAGAATCCGAAATCCTCAAAATCCAACGAAATTTAGATACAGAGGTGAATATAGGGCAATTTGAACCGTCGATAGGTGTCAAAATATAATTATACACACCTTGTTATGACAGATCACCGCAAAACTCGATGAACCGGTAAAGCTTTTTGTCCGATCCGTAAACGCAATCACGTACTGATTTCGGTCGGTCCCCAAGGCGCGCACTGCTCGGGAGGAGAGTTGTAAATAGATCGACCATTGTATGACAACCATCATCAATTCAGTGCACAGAGCAAGGCCTATAAACAGGAAGACGCCCTGGTTCTTTTTCTACAGTTGCTTTACAGCAACCCTATCGCTCCATACTCGTTAATCGCTGTGAGCACGGCCTTCAGGATACCACGCACATAATTAACATCCAGCATGCAAAATAGAAGCCAAAATAAGATTAGCAGTAAAACTCCGAATAAAACAACTCACTTCCCGACAGCTTCGGTGATTTGAAAGTCCCCAGGTGAAAGCCGCAAAGTGAAATACAATCGTGGGTTGTCCTGAGAATGCTTACAGACCTCCTGGTGGTTAATAACTGATGTGCATGCAGGATCCACGGGACGACAGAGACCACGGAAGGTAATAATCAAATTCGAAGGATTTGCGGAATCGACTAACAAAACGAGCGAAACCAGAAGAGCAATTTCTTTTAAGTTCCATAAATATATACATGTGGTTCCAGGGCTATTAAATTTTCCATAGGGAAAGGAGGTAAACGATAAAGTGGGCAAACGATGTAATGAAGCTTCAGAGCGTCATCCATGAAAACTACCGGAGTAGACTTTTTGCTATACATGCAACCAGCTGTTATTAACGAACAGCACTCGATACACGTAGGGTATTCCAACTCCCATGTGCCCTTCACCTATGTGGGAGGCCACTCTCATCTGCTAAGACAGTTCGGAAGTCGTCACGCGAGATTTAGTAGAAAACCGATATTTTTTACGGATCAAATGCTAACAATCATCAATCCAAGTGATCCTAGAGTATCTCTCGAAGGAGGCATGACGGGTGAAGTGCGGTTAGGCTGCCCAAGCCTGAACAAGAGCAGTTGAGGTGCTGCGGTTGGGCTTGGATCACGGACCCTCTGTAGAGTATATTCGCGCCTTCAACACTGGGTCTTCTTGACGCAAGCTCAACACACAGCAGCGCCAGCTTGTGCAGCACTAACCGATTTAACATCATGGACAGCGTACCATCAGCGTACAACACTGATGCTTTGCTCCGAAATGAAAATAGTACAATAGCGTGTTGCCAGTGTATATCGGGTTAGTAAGCGTAATTTAACGTGGTGATGGAGACATTAAAATAACCACGCCATTTCCAGATCCAAGGCTTTGGACACGTTCAACGAGCATTACAGAGATTGGGAGGATCATTAATTTACTAGAGTCCTACATTTCGAATAGTCGTTAGAATCCGAAATCCTCAAAATCCAACGAAATTTAGATACAGAGATGAATATAGGGCAATTTGAACCGTCGATAGGTGTCAAAATATAATTATACACACCTTGTTGTGACAGATCACCGCAAAACTCGATGAACCGGTCTTTCTTTTTGTCCGATCCGTAAACGCAATGACGTACTGGAATCGACGAGCCACAACGAAGCGCCAAGATGAAATTCTTCGCGACCCTAGATTCGAAAGCTTTTTGTCCGATCCGTAAACGCAATGACGTACTGGAATCGACGAGCCACAACGAAGCGCCAAGATGAAATTCTTCGCGATCAACCCTAGATTCGAAGATAACAACAATAACAAAATCAGAATCACACGGCTAGAATGTTACCAAAGTCCAGCGCGTCCAAAGGGGTTCGCTATACAGTCTCACAAAAAATAATGGATTAAACGTATACTTCGAAAAATACAGTTTCGGATTCAACTAGATCAGGGGACAAAGATGGACAAATAACACCTCTCCTCCTTCATGACGGCATTGACAGAAAGACAATAAGGTCAAATTTGTTCGGACACTGAGTTCAACTACCAAAGCGCAACGTTCACACAATTACCAGAAAGGGCTATGGCTAAAAGCTGGAATCAATTTGTTCCTTTACCTACAGAAGAATGCTCCATTGAATGCACAACTTAAAAGAGCAACTTGTGTCTTCATGGTCGTAAGTTATCACCGTCAAAAAGGCGCATAAGAATTAGCACTGGCTTTTAAAGCCAAAACAATCACAGAGGACGGCATAGAAGGGAAGAAATGCAGAAGTTAGAACTTATTGCAAAAAGGACCTCAAAGAAGAATTACCACGTTGTTTCAGCAAACATATCTCAATGATTCAGCAGAGTTTGGTAAACAATTGGTAGTTTTTAATTGGGTAATGTGTCGCTTTCGACACAAAAGCTTCATCAGACCATCAAAGTGGTCAGGTTTTAAGGCAGACGGGGAACCAAGCAGTAGGTCTGTTGTCGGCTAGTATGGTCGCCAAAATCTTGGAGTTTCAAATTAGTTCCGATCGGCTCTTGTTCCTTTATCCTCCCCTTCATGGTGCTTCATTTGATGATTCACCTCAGGTGCCACTGGTAGGTTTCGTCAGCTTGTGAGTGTTATGACAATCAGTCTTCATGGCCTGGACCGTAATCCTCGCCTCAAAACCTCAATATTTTCTAAATCTATTGCGTTCCGTGTCTAGTTCATGTTCCGCCATTTGCCGGGTCTTTCAGGAGCGCTCGATATTCATCTGTGTTTAGCGGTGGCCCGTTTATTTTCCTCCTATGCTCCCTGATTCCGGTGTGAAGTTCCCTGACCGTCTATCCTATGTAAATCTTGGTGCAGTCGTTACACTTAATTATGTAGACACATTCCGCGGTTCTGTTTGCCGGAGGCGATCTTCCAATTGCACTAGTACAGAGCGCGGAAGGCTACTGTTGTTAGCCGCGTTTAGAAGTTTTCGAATGAACTCCGAGGTCCCTGGTTTATATGGAATAACAGCGGTCCCGATTCATTACCTGTTGGGTTTCGCTCCAGCACCAACATTCTTCGCAACTGACACCTAATCGAGCTAGCTGGATATCCACTACTCCGAAGTTTGTTTTACTTCAATTTGTCCGATCAGCTTCGTCTGTGCGCAGGGCCCTTACACGCCTAAACATTGTTGAGGCAATACTGGCGCATAACAACTTCGGATGGACAGCCGAGTAGTTCAAAACTGCCGCAGTGTCGGCCGGCTTCTCGTACCCTGTAGTCTTTAGTTTCCTCCCGACCTTGAGTGTCATGCACTCTAAAAAGCCTAGCGTAGCTGTTAGGCAGGAATCCACGCGGATCCCACTATACCGCACGTCTTTAGGCGCTGCTACGGCCGAGAAGCCTGACCCGCTCGAGGTTGGCCCA